TCTCAAGGTCCCCTTGCTCAAGAAAGCACACATACATGCCCGTCTGAAGTTTGACAATGAACATCTGAATGATTCAGAGGACAACTGGGTGAAAGTGTTGTGGTCAGATGAGACCAAAATGGACTTTGGCATCAACTCAACTCGCCGTATTTGAAGGAGGAGGAATGCTGCCTATGACCCCAAGAACACCATCCCCACCGTCAAACATGGAGGTGGAAACATTTTGCTTTGGGGGTGTTTTTCTGCTAAGGGGACAGGACAACTTCACCGCATCAAAGGGACGATGGACGGGGCCATGTACCATCAAATCTTGGGTGAGAACCTCCTTCCCTCAGCCAGGGCATTGAAAATGGGTCGTGGATGGGTATTCCAGCATGACAATGACCCAAAACACACGGCCAAGGCAACAAAGGAGTGGCTCAAGAAGTAGCACATTAAGGTCCTGGAGTGGCCTAGCCAGTCTCCAGACCTTAATCCCATAGAAAATCTGTGGAGGGAGCTGAAGGTTCGAGTTGCCAAACGTCAGCCTCGAAATCTTAATGACTTGGAGAAGTTCTAGATTTGAAGCTTTCGTGACTGCAAGGATCCATACTCTTTGGTTCTATTCGGTAAAGTCACGTAGGTAAAAAAGTAAAACAACAAAAATCACGATGTTTCGGCCACAACACAAGTGGCCTTCATCAGGTGAAGGGACCGTACTGTCACGAGAACAGTGTTGGAGTGAAGACAGTCAAGCCCAGGTCGCGTCCTTTAAGCTGTGTGGGAGGAAACAACACGCTTTGACAAAGGAATTAGGATAAAATGCTCATAGAGTACCGACACGGGGGGAGGGGGAGGGGAGTTTACAAACGTACAAATGTTGTTGTGAAGGGAAACGCTTTGACAAAGGAATTAGCATAAAATGCTCATAGAGTACCGGCACAGGGGGGAGTTTACAAATGTACAAATGTTGGTGTGAAGGGAAATAAGCTGCTGTGAAAGTTTGGTATATCACTACTTAGATAAATATACTGTACCATTGAAAATTAGTTTAATGTTTGGTATGATTTAGAACATCTTTCCAATGATTGCTTAATTTGAAACCATCTTCTCGGTTGAAATTGTGTCTGTGTTTGTAAATCTGAATTGCCTCGTGGATAAATGTCTGATGATAACCTGTGGGTTTGCAAAGGACTTTGGTATCGGAGAAAACTATATCGTGATCACCCACAGTTGGTCCGAAATGCAATGTGCCCTGTGGTATAACTTTTGATGAGAGAATTCTTTTGAGCTGGGTGGTGGTGGGAATCAGGTTTCAAGTAGGAATCTGTGTGGGTGGGTTTCCTGTAGACAGAATGTCCCAATGAGCCATCAGGTCTCCTCTCTACATTATTGTGGTGTGACTGGATAAATGAATGTGTTCATGAAAAGCCATAAAGCAACATACCAATGTCCCTGAAGAAGAACATTTTCAATCTGTGCGTATTACCAACAATGAAATGGATCCGAAACATGACCAATGCCAAACAAAAATTGAACATGATTCTAAAATTGCACTCAAATTGTTGGAAACACGTAAACAAGAGGACAACATACACATCTGAACTGGTATTCAGCTGGTTTGGACGTGATCTTGACAAGTATTCTTATTCTGTAAACCATTATCGTTTCTAATTTATTATCCCACTCTGTGACCTATGAATGGAACTTGGAATTCATTTCCCAAATATTTATGGACAATATTCAAATCTATCCAGTTCCAGAAGATAAAGCGTCAATGTATATTTGCGAAAAACAGATACTAACACAAGAGACGAGGACATTATTTGTTTGTAAGAGTGACCAGGGTCACCAAAATGGCGATAAAAGCAATAACATCAAAATTAAAACGAAGCAAATAGAAATCAGAGCAAAAGCTGCAAAGAAATTAGTGTAAAAAAAACAGTTCACATGATCAACATTAAACACAGTTATTTCCAATAAGACGCCAACACACAGCAGTCATACATTATTTTTCACAAGTGTTGACCTCCAATGGTAACGTAATTTAGTTTCAGCATCTAAGGCTGAACAAGTCAAGAATCCAGACAGTTGGCTACATACGATGTTCAACATACATTCGTATGTAGAATGTTTGAAACGAGCATCAGATTAGTCGATATAAACTTAGATATGTGAGAGACCAGTGGCAGCTTTTTTTCCAAGTGCCCGTACTTTGAAAACCCGTGCCATGTAGTTTTACTTTCATCTCACATATGAAATATTTAGGTAGCAATAACGAGATTGGCATCCTCTCGTCTCTGGAGAGAAGTTGGGTTTCAAAGCTGCTTACACCTCACCAACGAGACTTGGAGAAGATCTGCAAAGAGGAGTGGGACAAAATCCCTCCTGAGATGTGTGCAAACCTGGTGGCCTACTACAAGAAACGTCTGACTTCTGTGATTGCCAACAACGGTTTTGCCACCAAGTACTAAGTCATATTTTGCAGAGGGGTCAAATACTTATTTCCCTCATTAAAATGCAAATCAATTCATAACATTTTTGACATGCGTTTTTCTGGATTTTGTTGTTGTTATTCTGTCTCTCACTGTTCAAATAAACCTACCATTAAAATTATAGACTGATCATTTCTTTGTCAGTGGGCAAACGTACAAAATCAGCAGGGGATCAAATACTTTTTTCCCTCACTGTAAAAGGCGGGGAAAACGAGGGTAGACTGTCGGGGTATAACGGTTGACAGCCGAGAGAGAGAAGGAGGACGAGGAGGATTGGCTGAGGGAAATGGGGTTAGCGAACCTTCGAGAAAGGGGGGCTCGAGGGATATAAAGGGGGAAAGGAACGGTTGGAGAGAAGACGAAATCCAAGCGTCAAGAACCGATGACCGGGACTAGAAATAGGACGCTTGTGTTGCGCCCGAAACGTCGTGATTTATTTTATTTTATACCTACGTGACTTTACCGAAATAACCAGAGTATAGAAATAGTTGTTTGTGTCCAAAATGCAGGCTCTTAGTAAAGCAAGAACGTGTGTCGGCGTCACTACACGTGTATCCACTTTAATTGCTTTATTGGAATTCAGGCATTCTAATAATAACATAGTGCTGTCCTGATGTTTTCAAACAGTGAGCCAGCCTATGGAACTGGTGAGGTGTAAGCAGGTTTGAAACCCAACCTCTCCTACAGAGATGAGAGGATGCCAATCTCGTTATTGGTACCTAAATGTTTCATATGCGAGATGAAAGTAAAACTACATTGCACGGGTTTTCAAAGTACGGGCACTTGGAAAAAAAGTTGCCACTGGTCTCTCACATATCTAAGTTTATATCGACTAATCTGATGCTCGTTTCAAACATTCTACATACGAATGTATGTTGAACATCGTATGTAGCCAACTGTCTGGATTCTTGACTTGTTCAGCCTTAGATGCTGAAACTAAATTACGTTACCATTGGAGGTCAACACTTGTGAAAAATAATGTATGACTGCTGTGTGTTGGCGTCTTATTGGAAATAACTGTGTTTAATGTTGATCATGTGAACTGTTTTACTTACACTCATTTCTATGCAGCTTTTGCTCTGATTTCTATTTGCTTCATTTTAGTTTTGATGTTATTGCTTTTATCGCCATTTTGGTGACCCTGGTCACTCTTACAAACAAATAATGTCCTCGTCTCTTGTGTTAGTATCTGTTTTTCGCAAATATACATTGACGCTTTATCTTCTGGAACTGGATAGATTTGAATATTGTCCATAAATATTTGGGAAATTAATTCCAAGTTTCATTCATAGGTCACAGAGTGGGATAATAAATTAGAAACGATAATGGTTTACAGAATAAGAATACTTGTCAAGATCACGTCCAAACCAGCTGAATACCAGTTCAGATGTGTATGTTGTCCTCTTGTTTACGTGTTTCCAACAATTTGAGTGCAATTTTAGAATCATGTTCAATTTTTGTTTGGCATTGTCCATGTTTCGGATCCATTCCATTGTGTTCTTCTTCAGGGACACTGGTATGTTGCTTTGTGGCTTTTCATGAACACATTCATTTATCCAGTCACACCACAATAATGTATGGCTTTTTTGCGTGACTTATCAACGTGCCTGAACCAATGCTGGTGAACTTACCGGACCGATCTTGATAGGCAGGGACCTTCTCCGTTAGGTATAGGTCCTATGTTGACACAAACATATGAAATACATAACACGAATGAATCAGGAGTGTCATTGTTAGGAATGTAAGTGTACAACATTTATAATCAAACAATTCGCCTCCATCAAACATCTGTCGCTTTGCATCGAAAATAATTGACAGTAAGGAATTGTTGACGATTATTTTTGTGTTATTGTATATTTTTTTCCGTCAAACTAGGATCCACATCTAACAGAGAGGGTCCTTATCACCTTCTGGCAAATCACCAGCGTAGTGTTCATGCGAGCCTGACTCTGCTGCTGGTGACACACTGAATGTCGATACCGGTCCAGAGCTCTGTTCGTGGCAAACCAATGTTGCTGAAACGTTGCCTATCCCAGAGGACGTGGGTGGCTGATGGAATGTGTAAACACACTGTAGGTGTATTTATTTTTACGTGCAAGGGACAGATGCTGTTTGTGAAGGTGTATTGCCTACTTTTCCAAAGAGAGGCAATGTTTCATAGCCACAACTTGCTTGCATTTTTTTTCTATTTCAAACAATTAATAAACGATATATAATGTATGTATTATTTTTTTTTATATAGAAGTGTCTATTTTAATGTTTTAGTATTTAATGTGATGGCGCCTTCAGTGGCATACTTATGCCGGAAAGGCACCACGTGTATCATCAAAAATAAAATGAAGACTTGACGGTCCTCTATGTTTTAACTGGTCTTCGTATCCTCACCTACCGGGTGACTTAAAAACAATGATACCTTCCAAAAATTGGGACAATTAACGTTCTATAAAATGACGTCATTCGGGTAGGGTGACGACGTCGTGCGTGACGTCACCGCGCGGGTGGGGCGGGGTGGTATATAAGGGCGGGCCGCCAGAGATCGCGCACACGACGCGGAGCCGCGAGGTGCGTGGCTGACGCGGCGCCTCGACTGCAACTTCGCTCAAAGTCCTCTCGCCCTCTCCGATAAACCACCGCCACCCCGCATCACCCAGCTGACTAACACAGCCGCCACAACTAGCGCACGACAACAATAACTGTAAACGACGGAGGCGTCGCAAGCGTTCCGACCGCCGGGAGTCGTCGCAGCTCGCGAGAAGTGAGTGAGCGAGCGAGCGAGCGGGAGGGAGGGAGGGGACAACCGGAACGGCAACACCGGGGCAAGCGCCGGGCCCCCCACCACCAACAACAACAACCATCGCCCCGTCGCGCGCTTTGAACGCCGCCGCCAGCCCCCAACAGCGCGCGGGGAGATTTCATCAAATTTTTTTTTCGTAAAAAAAATATTTTTATTTTATATTCCCAATTAATTCCTTTCTCCGATCCCGAACTACTAGGATCGTCAATTTCCACGAGTTACTTAAACCCCTCCCCCCATTCCTTCGTTTGACCGTACATTTCCTCCAATTTAGTTAGTTTGTTTGTTAATTTCTACTTAAACCTTCCACTTCTTTGAGATCGTCTGACATCTCCGCTCGAACAAACCGTGCCCGTGCAATGGGGGGCCGTGGCACGCGGCACGGGACGCCGACGCCGCCGCCGCCGCTCCTGCTCCAGCTGCGACTTCTCGTGCTGCTGCTCCTCCTCCTGCTGCCGCCGTCCTTGTCCTCGGCGCAGAACGACGAGTGGTACACGGCCTTCGTGAACGTGACGGTGGTGGACCCTCTGGCGTCCAACCGCAGCGTGTCGGCGCTGGGCGCGCCCGCCGAGACTGGCCGCTACGGGGGCCACTCGCCCAAGGAGGACGCGCAGGGGCTGCTGAGGGCCCCCCTGCGCGGAGTGAACGCGTGCGGAGCGGGCAGCCGCTTCTTCGGGCCCGGCGAGACGCCGCCGCCGCGGTGGGTGGCCTTGGTGGCACGAGGCAACTGCACGTTCCGGGAGAAGATCGTGAGGGCGCGCAACCAGAGCGCGTCCGCCGTGCTCGTGTACAACTTGCCCGACACGGACGGGGAAGTGGTCACCATGAACCACCAAGGTGGGTAAAGGGGACGGTGTGGTGGGGGGGGGTTATTGGGGTGCTGGTGGTGGTGGTTGTGGTGGTGGTTATGGGGAGCGGTTGTTGTGGTGGTTGTGGGGAGCGGTGGTTGTGGTGGTTGTGGTGGAGCGGTGGTTGTGGTGGTTGTGGTGGAGCGGTGGTTGTGGCGGTGAAGTCGTCCACTCAAGTTCGCGATTCCCGCTCACGGCCAACATCGGTGGCGAATATCTGAACCGGTCCTGGGCCTCCCCTAGGTCGACTCAGACTCAAATTAGTAACCTGGCGCGGTGTGTAAACATTGACACTGGGGAGACAAAGGCGGCTGTGCGTGGTGCTGGTCACCCACCCCCTCGTGTGCCGTGTCAAGGCTTTACGGGGGGGGGGGGGGTCTTTGTTTTGGTGGTGGTGATGCTCCTTGAAAGTGTTCGTGGTTGCTGATATCATTGATGGCAGTGCTGATGATGTCCGCGGTGCGAATGTCCGTGATGAAAATTTGCGATTGGTGTGCCCCGAGATGTCGATGATGCCTGCGTTGATGTTTGTGGCAATGTTAAGGGACAATTTTACATCGACCGTAACCAACCGCGCTAATCGGGGGTTTTATGCGACTGGCCGCGTTTAATGTGGTTTGTGCGAACTGCCCATGATGTGACGATCTTATGATGCTGATGATCATGCACCATGCTAATGTACAGACTAATAGTGTGTCTTGTTCGGTGTTCTGTATGATTATGTTTATGATCAAGTCTATGGTGCCATGTAAAATTATTCTTGCTAATGTTCAATGGCTTTGATAATGCTGTTCAAACGCATGCGGTTTTTGTCCCTTAAATGTTCTGCGTGATGATGGTGCCCAAGAGTAGTAGGTTCGTGTTCGCTGATGCTGTCTGTGGTGCAGCTCGCCGTTCTGCTGATGTGCACGTTGATATCCGCTGATGATAGCGATGATGCTGATATCTCCTGCTGATGTCCCATCTTGGGGGTAGATGTCCTTGGTTTTGCTGTCCTTGGTGCTGATATAAATCGGTCGGTGGACATAACTGTGGTCATGCAGTTAATGAAACGAAATGTGTAAGTGACTCTTCCACGGTCAAAAATGATGGTCATTATTTTTTAAAAATAATCCATTGGCTCCAATAAAATTGTCGTTTTTAAAAACCAAACCAATTCAGAAGAGTGTACGCACCTTTATTTAACTTCCATCATTATAAATGTTATCCATGATTAAAATGAAGCATTCATATTATGTGTAGTATGTCTAGTTACAATTTGTCATTTTTCACCAACAGTAAATATAATCAAGGGCGTAATCCAGATTAACTTCTTAATTCTCATATATGGCATAATTACATTTCCAGATTGTGAATTGCACTTAATATCCAATGCTTTTTTGCCAATACAGCACCATTATTTTACCTGTGTACTCGTGTTTTGTATCCTGTCATATATGTATTGCGTGTGCTGCACATGAATGCGGTACAAGAATACATCACTGAATCATACCACATTTTCCTGACAGTGACACATATGTGCACCTGGGAATGGGCTTTAATTGGCCTGACTTTGCAGACAGCGGTCATATAGAGCCTGACCATTAAGAGGCACTGCCATTATGTTGCTTGTGAGTGCATTACTCTTTTGTGGTCATTGTACACTCAGCCCAAATGCTGATCCCTTCACCTCGTCCCTGTGCCAATGCATGTGCCGAAAATAATGAAATCCGCTTACGGATTACATGGAGGAGGATATGTTTTTTCGTACTTTATAAGTAAACACAATATTTGTGGGTTTGCAGTGGCTTGCTGGATAGCATGCTGTGTTGTGCCTGCCAAGTGGAGGATAATGCTGTAAACTACAGCATGTGTTCGCTTTGCTGCCATCACCTAGCACTTGCTGTGTGTCTGGATTGTGGTGGTTGTGGAAATACTCATATTTGTCCAGCATGGTTTGCCAACATAAAGGAGGAGGTTTGTGTCCGTCAAGACACTCGACTCAACCAAACCTAGCCCAGCGAGTTATTTTTATCGGACCGTTTCGGCCAGTGTCCATTCTAAAGTCTGGTTTTCATTCGGTCACCTTAATCAGAGGGCAGATAGCATGGTATGAAGTGCTTTATCACTTTTGTCTGGCTTCCAGTAAGCACACAGCCGATTAATAAATCGCCTGGAAGTCTCCCGATCTCATCAGATCTTGGAAGCCAAGCAAGTTTGAGCCTGGATAGAGCTTGGATGGGCAACTACCTTGCCCAGCAGATTGTTATAGGCTGCTGTGTGGCTTTGTGGTGGACAACAGAGCGCAATGGAGTAATAATATCTTGTTTAAATATATTATACGCTTTAACGTCTATGCTCCCCCAAGCGTCGCCAACCTGCGCTGACCAACGTGATGAAGTATAGTCTAACTACCATGACGTGCACAGTGTGGATACGGCCTCATCCAGCAGTGGACTGACATGTACGTGTAGAATGTACTCGGAGTGTGTACTTTGGCAGAACTGTTCACTTCGGAATAGATATGCTCCTGTGTACGGTATTCAAAACGGCCTTATCCACATACTCATTTATCAGATGCAATTTTCAGTTGGGATCATGGACAGAGCGGAAGATTACATTTTATATATATAAATAATATATAGAATTTTAAAGTACATTTTTTTAACATGTTTCAAACGTCTCTAAGATGCTTTTAAGTATGCTATATACAATGTTATCATAGTGCACTTTATACTTCAATATTAGTATCAGTCAGCAGACACGAAATAAACAACTAACAGACTTGTACTGTTAGTAGTACTTCAAGTATTTAGTCTTCGTCGCCTACCACATTACGTTTCTGGCACAGTTGTAAGTTTAATTGTTTCAACGTGCATTGGGATCTCATGTGAAACCAGTAATCGAGTTAATCTACACACACACACCTGTATCCACCGGTTGACACTGCCTCTGGATTGTATGGCATATGTTCTCGGTTTGCTCCCAATATCCAAGCTCTTTGTCTCGTTTCGGCTCTCAGCTGGGGCTGTGTATAGAATGGCATCGTGGGTTTGTTGTGCTTGGGGGGGGGGGCAAAGGCATGGCGGGAGTCAGGTTTGGAGTGTCGACTTTCCACTTCCTGTTGGCACCGATCCTGGAATTTAGAACATAACCCCCAGACTGTGTTCACTTACCCATAATGCCTTATCCAGCTTACACGCAGATATGCACTCACTCCTGGGACATCTTAGAAGACCACACGGTATCTGCTGGTGTATTGCTGTAGTAGTAAGATCTCGACACTGTCCTGTGAAGTAAACGTCGGCCAAAGTGTCTACCTCATCGAATGAGCTCTCGGCTCTTTGCGTTCAACAGCCAATGGTCGAAATTTTCATTTTCCACAGTACCGTAGGGCCAGTGTTTTTCCATAGGATAACCGCTGTTTAAATGTAAGAGCGATTCTAATTTTAATTATGAAACCCCGGAGGGACGATATGCTTTGACTTTGCAGGATTTTCAATTTTAAACAAGTCAGCCAAATATCTGTAGGGGTATCCGGTGAATGTTATCACCATTTCAAGGGAGATTTCTGGTGCGGTAAAAGAGTACAGTATTGGCATTAAGTGAAACAACGTAGAGTATGACTCGTATCGTCCCATTCTCCATTGGGCACATTTTTCTCCGGTCCTGCATTGCAGAACATCTTTCTATATCCGCACATTATTTTTTTTTATCACAGTAAAGTGACGTTCACGAGCAAATGCGTGATATTTTACCGCTAGGAACCTGAGAATAAGTGAGGAGTACATTCGCGGATGAGAGTGTGGGTAATAGGATACTCAATGTATTCCCCCATCTCATCACTGTGGAGTTTGACTGTAGTTGCTACGCCAATTTACTAATGTGTTCACCCGACACCTTTGGTAACTATATGTAACACGAATCTGTACGGGATTTGGACTGAACAGTAATTCACGAGGATTGTATTGCACGTCACATGATGCCACGTGTGTGTGTGCAGCTGTGACGACACCAGGTGAAGATTATCTGAACCGGTCCTGGGCCTCCCCTATGTCGACTCGGCCTCAAATTAGTATCTGGTGCAATGTGTAAATATGGCCACTTGGGAGACAAAGGCGACTGGCCCACCCACCCACTGCCTCTTGTACCGTGCCTGCTTTCATAGGTGCTCGCTAACAGCACTTGCCCCAACAGTCTATTAAGACTATACCGGGGGGGGGGGAGGTCTTTGTCTTTGCAGCTGTGTTCCCCACGTCTCACCAGATTGCGTTTGGCGCAAAGTCGCGTCGGAAAAGTGACGGCTTGGTGGACGTTTCCTTACCCGCACGCCGTAACTCCCCTTTCCCTCCCTGCAATTACCCTCCCCTCCTCCTGCCTTTGTTATTGTACCCCCGAGGAGTTGGCTCAATTGACAAGTGCCAATTTTGTGTCTTTTTCATAAAAAAAAATGTACTAGTACTGGACGATGTAACGACAAGACCAAAAAAATGTGCCCACCTGCAGTGCTGATTGGGGAGGAGGGCGCAGGGCGTTTTGGCCCGATTTAGCATTTGCCTGCGCGCCTTCTCCGCCAGTGTCGTTTATAGACGTGTTCACTAGCTTTTACGCGGATAAAGTCATAATTATAATCGTACATTCTTAAACGAACGTTTTTGTGGATTTACACTATCCTAGTTATTTTACAAACCCACTCGTGCTTTACACACACACACACACACATTGTATAGGGTGGTCCAGATGTCTTGTGACCCGCCAATGAATTGAACCATAACATTTGTTTAGTTTGCAACATTCATTTCTGTTTAAAATCAACCTTACTTGAAATTATATATTGTTTTGAGAATGAAATGGGGGTTACAAGACATCTGGACCTCCCTGTACTTTGTGGTCAAAAATAAAAAAAAAACTGTCCCGTAAATATAATTCACACGTGCATTCCTTTTTTGTCAATACACTGCTGGATGTGGAACTCTCCACACCGTGTGGGTGGTGGAGATTATTTGTCCA